TTCCGCATTGAAACATTGTCTGGTCTCACTTCTTTCGCATTCTCTGAATATGTGTATTTTATCAAGGAAATCGGCACAAGTCTTGAAACGCTTTCGATTGATTTTGACACGATGAGTGAGGATTATAAGCGCGTCACGGTACGACGCGTTCAGACGCGTCTTGGAGACTTCTTTTGGTAAAGCGCGTTAAGACGCGTTTTTTTTAATAAAAAGTGCTAGACGCGTCTAAACGCATCTCGGTACGACGCGTTCAGGCGCGTCTGACCATTTTTTTCTGAAAAAAACGCGTTTAGACGCGTCTTTTCAAACGCAATGACTTTACATGGGTAGAAAAGATTCCTTGTCGTATCATTCATCGCTTGATTCCTTGATGACTCATTACCAATTAAATTTTCAACCTGTTGAAGATAGGTTCCAGCTGCAATTTCTGTACTTTGTGTATCATTGTTCTGATTCGAACTTTCTTCTTCATCGTCACTGTTGAGACGTTCTAAAACATTAGCAGTTTTCAACTTTCACGCGTGAATTGTAAGCATCATGCAAGTGACTTTAACCTAAATTATCAGAAAAATCAATAACGAAATTACTGTTTCTGAGCGATTTTTACTAAATCTTTCGCTGTTCGCGCTCTCCTGTGTTTGCGACACGTTTCTGAACAAAAATATTGTGCCAACTTTACAATTCAAGCTATTTTTTATTTGTACTTACTTGTAAGGTTTTTCTTTATGCTTGAACGTTCATCATCTTCGCAACTACTCTCTTCTTGAGTTGAATATATCTTATCAAGATATTTGGCCCGTCGTTCCATTTTTTTTTTATCTCCTAAAAATCGTTTACGTCTAAGTATATTAGTTCGACAATATTTAACTGAAGATTCATACCTTCCTGAATTATTGTACCAAGATATCGTTGTCCGTTAAAATTTACCCATCCGATTCCGTCAAGATTTTCATCAAACTGAATTTTTTGTTTTGGCATAACTGCGTGTGTTCTGTCGCTAGGAAAATACATTAATATGGACGGTTTATAAACTGAAATAACAGATGATGGGAGATGGTTTACGGGTTTTCCACGATTTTGAAGAATTTACGTAAGATTTTGTTTATGTACAACAACGATTAAAACAAATTAAAATTTCTAGGCCACACGAAAACACCACAAATAAAACCAAATAAGGAAACACCTACAAAGAAAATAAAGAAGCAATGAACCTAAAAAGAAAATAAGCAAGATGAGAAGATAGAAAGAAAATATTTTATTCAAGCAAACATTAATCATGTTCAAACCTAATAGAGAGAGGAGACATGACATTACCAGCATCGATAACTATACATTTTTTCAGTATTGCCGTGATTGGTAAAAGAGTAAGATTTTTCTTCGTTTTTTTGTCATAACAGCGAAAAAACAATTGATTATTTTCAAAGCATTTGCATATATACTTGGTTCAACAAATGTGGAGAACTTATCGGAACTTTCTTTTACTAAACTGCCGAAACAGAAAGTTCTATGTTCACATCGAGCAAAACAGGCAAACTCCAAAAATGATCTATCATGATCTTGAGAAGCACTCCTTTGACCGTGAACAATCTGAACGGTAAAACTGTTTGTTCTACCCTTTTTGACATACGACAACGAATGATAAACAACATTAGCAATGCGAATCCGTCGATAGAAATCCAATAAGCAGGCACAATTTTGCTGAGCACAAATTTGCTGTACTATGATATTATTGACAAACTTATCTAGCAATTCTACTCTATTTTCATCAATACATGCCAACACCTTCTCTTCAAATAAAGCAAGAAACCGATCCATATCATGGTATAGCGAAAGGTGTTCTCCAAAATTTGTCGTACCGTGTTGATTTCGTATAATTGTTCTCAGAAAACCTTTGAAAGAAAAACAACTCGAGTAATTCACTGTTCCAAAACGTTTTGTCAACAAACCATAGTGCATATGCATATGATATGATAGATTCATAATTTTACCGAGGGAATCGATATTCGAGAGTGCAAATATACAAAACATACTGTCAGCGATCTCTTCGCTATTTTCATGCACACTTCTATCCCCATGTACTAATCGTATCCCACACACGAATAAGGCGATACGAGAGAGAAGTTCAACTGGTAAAAATCCGATTAGACTAGGCAATAAAACATACAATAACAGTGTCCGCGATTCGTTTGCTTTATATTGGTGTCTATGAACTAACGAACGCACTTTGCGTGAGAAGTCATGAGGTAGAGTACGTAATACTCTTTCATTTATTTTTTCAAAATCGCTTTGGGGATGGCATCTACAATTAACGACAATAAACTATCGAAAACACACTAGGTCATTGAATGCATATGATCGGATTTTATGCTTCAAGCAAATTTTGAGGAAATAGGGGTTCTAAAACTGAAAAGCCTTCAATTCCTTCACTGGTTGGATCTTTCTTCGCTCAGGATGTTTCTCGTTTATAACATTATCGTAATACACCAACGTTCTATTTCCGGTTTCGCGATAAACAACTTTACCTAAATTTGTATCATATTTACCCGGTACGGTACAAATATAGCATGACTGGAGCCCACTACTATGGCTATAAAATTGCAAAAACCAGTGTAATGTTATTCTTATTTTTTTTCGCTAGTATTTTCCGGTATGAGTCGCCAGTTACAATATCTCTCCTGCGCATATCAGGACAATTCAGCGCTTTTCGTTGATATTCCATTATGGCTTTCCAAGATCTTTGTACGGCGCCTTGTAATTCACATTTTACATCGACCGTGAAAACGTCTTGGGTTGAAGAATCAACTGGAATACAATCACAACCGTCATGTAGCAGCAGCTTCCAACAACAGGCCGAAAAAACTTGTTTCTCGAATGTATTTTTTATTGGAACTATCTTCATTAGAGCCCGAAATGATCTGGACATATTATTAGGATGAGGAAGCGTATCGGACTGGAAACATAAAAGTCTTGTTACCTTATTTTTGTCCAGTAAACAATCTCTTGACAAACGTAAGAACTCGATGCAATAATGTATGTCGACTGATTCGTGTACGGATGAATTGGTTCTGTGAGACCATATCTCAATAAAATGTTATCTGTGTCATGATCTTCTGTATCACTGAACAGAGATTCTTCATCAGATGGCTCATCGTAAAATTTAGTTGATAAATACGCATCTGAATCACTTAAATTTGCCTCACCTCTAGCTCGAATGGGTTCCAATTTACGTGTACTATCGACAGAAAAAAAATAGTCCATTTCATGGTCAATTACAGAGCGGGCTCCATCACTTTCATCACAAGTACTACTACTATCATCTTTGGGGTATTTTGCTGAACCTTCGATCTTGTTTTCTTCTTAGAAAGATACTTTTGTCTTTCTCTTTGACGATTCTTTTTCGTCTTTTGCTCGATTTCAGTAATCGAGATGAGCTCTTGATAAGAGTAGGCCGCAGTCATCATTGAGTAAATATGTATCAGATAGAGAGTTAATAACATGAGTGAGAAACTCGTGTAATTTTATACTTAAACTGTGTTTTTATTATTCTTTTTTTATTTTTTTTCTATACGATGGATTTTCCGGTCTGAGAACCAGTCATTGTCACATCCTCTACGCACAAACGCATTCTATATAAAAGACTGTCGTCAATTTCACCTTTGAGAAGAGAGATGGATGATAGTTCCGTATTTACTTTTTTGTTGTAATGCGTACAGTGACGCTTTAATTATTGAAAAGATGGCGCAACTACACTTGTTGTGTCTCACATAGATACTAGGACCATACCTAGGAAAAATAAAACAAATAGATAAACGTGTAAAAAAAGGAAGCATAGATGTGCCAGCTTGCTTTAAACTTAATTAGCTTATTTTATGGTAAGAATTGGATAAGATTTTGGTAAGATTTCAACAAGATTCTTACCGATATCTTATCAACTTCTTACTGGCATCTTATCAGAATTTTAAAAGTATCTTATAAGAATCTTACCGAACACTTATCACTTACGTGGAGAATCTTATATAAGATACTGATAAGATTCTTATAAGAATCCAATAAGATTTTCACAAAATAAAACGCCTAGGGCACAAGGATTGGTATTAGCAGCTAGTCTCTTCCGTTCATATTTATTTTCTTCCCACTCTTTTTACAAATCGAGTGTGCCATCTCTTTGCGGACGACCTTAGAAAAAAGATTTTCACATAATATTATAGAACGTGAAAAAAGGGCAGCAATCGCGATGGAAATTTTTTTAGCTAAATATTCCGAGGAACATATTTTACCAGTTAACGTTCAAAAAACAAAAAGTATGCTGTACTGGTTCACAGTGTTGTTCCACCGTGTTATCCAATAACCAGATCGAAAATCGTGTTACCCAGCTCCAACCGCCCGATTCTAACTCCATTTTGTTTGCTTGGGTTTCTATGAGCGCTAGAATCACAATATGGCCAATGGGAGCAGTAGCACTCATTCGTTGGTAAAAAGACTTTTTAGAGGAGAGGATATTAACCCTGACTGGAAAGGAAGAAAACTTAACGTACTACTTAATATTTTAAGCGTTGTGCATTATTGTTGTATTTGTAAGTTTTACTTAAATAATCTGCTAATAATTGTTAAAAGTTCCAAAAGGGGTCGATGCACATTCGAAGGGGTCCTATTCTTGAGGACCGATTACTAAGATGGAAACGTCCCGAGGTGTGAATAATGTTTTCGAATAAAATGTGTTGTATTTAGTAATGTTACGCTTGTTTTAGTGGTGTAAAACATTTTCCGAAGTCTAAGGTCATCAAAAATGAGGATTAGATTCGTTCAAGTTCTTAAGAGGCAGTCCTTGAAAAGTGCGTCTTACAACGTTTTAGCTTTCTGACCGTAACTTAAGAACAATAGAGAAAGTATGAAGCAAGAGCTGGATGTATTGTCATTCATTTTCGTCGGAAATCTAGTCTCATTAGACAAGCATTTCAAATACAATTTTTTCTTTTTGCTGTTCAAAAGAAGGCACAAGGACAGTTTATATGTGTATGTGTCATATACCACGTTTTTCGAGTTTTAATAAGTAAAAACTGGTGAGAAATACTTCCTCCATATAAAACAAGCCTCTACGGAACGCGTTTGCAGGAATTCTAGTCAGTGGCAATGTTCCGATGGCATGACTTCCAATGCGCAATCGCGCCGCGAACTGGTCGCCAGATTTCTGTGTAAAATTTTCGGAAAAATCGAAAGTGACTTGGCCAGGTTGAGAGATACTTCATTTTAATCAGAATTCGACACTGATTCAGGGCTGGGCGAGTACACAGAATTCTGAGTACGAGTACTGAGGGTACACCATGAGTAGGAGTATCTTCTGAAAAATACTCCTGCGTATACAGAAAAGCCGATGATTTCGAAAATATGGATTTTTGACGACATAACTCGTAAAAAAACAGGAACAGGTTTTTGGGGGTACTCGCGTAACCACGAAGTGGATTTCTTGGAACAGATTTCCAAGTTCGAAGTTAGCAAGAGGATTCACCGAAGAATGCATGGTTTGCAAAACAACGACATTTCTTATACAATATGCAGCATTATCGATCATTACCTGAAAACTAAGAAATCTCCATTCATTACAAAACCATAAGTAGTTCCGTAAAACCTGTAATGTTTCTGCGCTCATTGTACGAAACCATCAGTAGTTTAATAAACTGAATAATAGATCCGTATGTTTTGTACAAAGCCACCGGTAGTTTTGTACGTTTAAAAGTGGTTCGGCAGCTATCGTACGAAACTATGAATAGTTTCACAATTCGAATAATGGTTCCGTACAAATTACAAGGAATCATCAGAAGTTTCGTAACTATCATAGTGGTTCCGTCATCAATGGACAAAACCATCAGTGGTTTCGTAGCCGTGATAATGGTTATGTATATATTATACGAAACCGTGTGTGGTTTTGCAACCATCATAATGGTTCCAAATTTACTCTACTAAACCACGAGTAGTTTTGTGCATTGCATAAGGGTATCGTATTTATTGTACCGAACCATCGGTAGTTCTGTATATTGAATAATGGTTTCGTTTATATCGTACAAAATCATGGGCACTTTTGTAAAAATCATAATGGTTCTTCATTTCCTGTGAGGAACCAACCGTAGTTTAGTATATTGATTAATCGTTCCGTAATTAATGTACGAAACCATTAAGTGTTTGGGGAAACTAGTCAAAGTTTTGTACTCCTTGAACAAAACCGTCAGCAGTTTCGTATATTGTAAAAGGGTTCTGTGTCTTGTGTACGAAACCATCGTCAGTTTCATAAGTTTTTTAAAGATTTCGATCGTCTAAACGAAACCATCAGTAGTTTTGTATCGCGTCTGCGAAACTTTTTTACATCACGCGGAACTAGACGTGGTTTCGTATAATGTTTACAGAACCTTCAAATTCTGTACGAAACTACTTTGGTATTGTACGAAAGATACCAAACTATTGAAGGTTCAGTATACACTACACGGATCCTGCATAGGGTTTCGCAGTTGAACTACAGAACTTTTTCCAATTTTCTGAACTTAAAAAAGATTAGTAGTAAAACTACTGAACCAATTCCGTCGCACAAAACTTAAATTCGTTCAGCGCAAATGTACGAAACTTTAAAAGTTCTGAAAAACACCTTTTTTTTAGAGTGAATGCTTGCAGTAAATATATAGTCGATGTAAACTAGAGGAGTCTGTACTAATCGTCAAGTGAATGATCTAACAAAATTACAGTCACTGCGAAAATAATTCGTCAAACGTAGCTGTTGTTCGACTATGACCAGTACATGTCGATCAACGAACAACATATTGTCCTAAGTCTATGTTCGCCACGAACGAGAGATAATTGGATCGATGCACTCGACTAGAACAGATCGAAAATAGTATCATAAGTTCACAAAATGTCTCTCTGCACAAATGACATTCGTATTAATAGACGAAGCGCTGAGTTTTATTACATTTAAAGTATTGTTCTTGCCATACATCGAGTTTTCACATGCACGGAAATAAGCTCGTATGACTGACAATCCATTACAATCATGTTACAAAAGTTCAAAATATTTTTGACAATGAGTGACAATAATTGAGGAAACTGATTATTGATGAATTAATCGTCGCCAACTTCCAAGTGACTCTTTAAACTTTTTCGTGTACAATCAGAAGGAAGGACAAATACGACGAAGACGAGTATTGATGGAGTAAATGAAATGAAATAACCACAAAGATACACCCATAGATAATGAGACATCTTCAAACATCCAGATAACAATGAAATGATGAGACGGGGCAACGATAAAACAAGAAGAATAGTGGGGCTGATCACCAGTTGTTTATGTTCTTTTAACTGTTCATAAACATGTTCTCTGTAAGTTTGTTTAGTTCGAATCACCGATCGTTGCCGAGCAGCTCCAAAGATAATGAATACAGCAGAGAAGAGATTAGCAACGAACGGGACGACAAGATGGAAAAACAGAATGGCTGTATTGTATTCTTGGACGGAAGAAGAATAACGAGTCAGACACCAAAAATGTTTTTCTGTCGTATTTGTCTCTGTCTGGTTTCTTTCAAACTGGCCCTCTTCTGTGTTGTTTTTCTGTATGTTGACTCCGATTATATCGCGGTATATAGGCTCGTGGATGAGCGTACCCATGATGATGAAAGGTAAGATTATAATTATCCATCGAGCAATACGTTTGCTCTCCTTTTTGTTAAAATGAACTCCTTTAGAAACGTTGACTGCCCTTTCGACAGCGATACAAGCATTGAGCCAGGCGTCTAGATACAAGAAAAGTTTGAGAGCAGGATCAATCGACACACAACCCCCTCGGAGAACAGAGAGACTAGTAGATAGATTGATTTCAGTGAGAACAACAAACCAAAATTTGATTGTGAACATAATGATCGTAAGAAAGGATGTGATTGATGATGCTAGAAGATACATTCCACAGCCAAGTTCTCGTGAATCTTCCCTTTGAAACGTTATGAAAGATAGAATGCTGTTGATCAAGCCCGGAACGAAAATCAACATCGTCAGAGCTATGCTCATTTTCACTGTTAATGATTGATTGTTCAACGTCATATTCTTTTGAATTCGTCGCGCAAAATGTCATCGAGAGTCAATCCAATGCTTTTAGCATAAAATTGACATTTATTGCCGATAAAACAACTGCTCTGATTTTTTCCTAAAAAAAACATATAGCATTTTGGTATTTCTTATACTAGAGTGAAATAATTGTTTTATCTATCGACATGTTCAACTGATTCGTGCAGTTTCAATTATGAGTAAAATTTAACAAACCCTCTTTGAATTTACAAGAACTTATCAAACTGAGTAGAACGACAAAAGTTTCAAAGAAAATTGATGACATTAAAGTCATGTATGGGCTCTTAAATTCTATGCATTTTGGAAAATCTATTATTGTAATTCTCATAATTCATGCCTCTGAAGACCGGATTGACTTCATACGTAAATTTGCCATTGAATCATCCTCTCTTCACAGTACTATTTCTTATTCAAATAATATGTTTTTATAATATTGGTGGAATTATAGATGAAAAACAAAGATATACTTTTCTGACTGAGGTGTTGCATCTTGATCTTTAGAAGGATTACAAAATTTCAAAAGAATATTTGTTTGAAATAGCCACACACCAAATCTCGAGAGTCTCTATTGAACTTTACTGTTCCGAGAAACAAAAATGTTTACTTAAAAAGCTCACTGTGTCTCAAAACAAGTCAAACAAATGTTCTTTCAAGCTTCCTTACTTCAAAACTTTTGCTGGCGTAAGTTTCCAAAAAAGAACAATTGCTACAAAACTCATTTTTCTGAATGTCACAACATAATAAGATTAGAATTATAAAAGTGAGAGATTAATACAATAAAGGAAGATACTTTAAAGAAAAATTTCATTATAATGAGATCTTTCTGTTTTCGATGAAATGTGCTTTGGACGTTTTGTTTATTGTTTAATATATGATTACTAATTAAAGAAATTTTTTCATCAATGTTTTCATATTTCTACTCTCACTTGGTTGATAAATCAACAAAGACAACAAATAACAATATGCAAAATATCAGAAATATATTTACAACTGAGACTAAAAAATACTTTCTGATACAAATCGTTCATTCAAAGATAATTGAAATGGCAATGCTAAATTAATATGGTTTTAATTAAGAAAATTCAGATTATCTAATTGAACAAATCAATGGATTGTTGTCCGAAATCGAGTTTCCAAAATGAGTAGCAAGGAAAAGAGAAATGAATGAGGATATATTGTGACAAGCTGTGCCAAAAACTCTTCACTCACAATGATTAAGTATCAATAACTATTAGTTATTTAGTTTTTTCTGTATCTTTTCGTAAGTATAAACAAAGACAGCTCGTGCCCTACCCAAAATCGTCTATTTTCTGGTTTAAAAGTAATCATAGATTAACGCGAACGATGCTATCAAGTGTATCTTTTGGATAAGAAAATAACTCTTCTACTTTTTTTCAAACCATCGTTTATAGAAATTTCTGACTGGCTAATTCAACTCATTGATAGAAGACAATGAGAAAGTAGGGGTATCATTTTAGCGTACCCGTTCCTGAGAATGGGGAACGCTGACACCCCTGCGAGAAAGACTTAATAGACTTTGATGGAAAGTATTTTCGATTTTAAATGTTTGTCTATAACCAGTGGATTCAGATCAGAATTGATACTGTTGATTCTTTTATATCAGAATCGCCACTCTTACCCTTCAGTCATTGCCCAACATG